ACAACTCTACTATCACAACTCCACAATATAATTCTACTGCCAGACCACTACTATCACAATTCTACAACAGATTTCTACTACCATAACTCTACTTCCACAACTCTACTACCACAGCTCTACAATAGAATTCTACTACCACAACTCTACTACCACAACTTTACTACCACAATTCTACAACAGATTTCTACTACCACAACTCTACTATCACAACTCTACAATAGAATTCTACTACCAGACCTCTACTACCACAACTCTACTACCACAACTCTACAACAGATTTCTAGACTTAAGTAAAAGTTCATGTGACATGAAAGCAATCAATATATTATGAATCAACTTGTCTAATTTTACCACATTTTTTCTTTTATTTTAACTACGTGATGCTAGAATCAATACAACAGGAACAAATACCTTTCACAGAAATACATCACATTGAAGTTAGATTCCATAATTAGAAGGCTTCCATCCAATATACAAGCAAATAAGTTACTTAAAATACACCTTTTAAGGCCAGGCAAATATTTTCTTTGATTTTATTAATAATTTCTTTTTAGATTTATATAGAGCATATTTACTCCATCTTTTTCCTTTATTTTTATCCACTTATAGTACGTCATATTTTATCATAAGGCAAAATTTAAGTGCCTTGTTTTACCACTTTTATAGAATAAAAATAGATTTTCAAAGAAGCAATTCAACAAAGCAGCTTGAAATTGCTTTTAATATCTATATTGATATATATTTCAGAGAGTCCACACAGCTAATACTCTTATTAGTGCTGACGAATAGTCGAATAGTTAAAATCAGTTTTTCAGAATATTCGAATGGGATTTTACAATGCAATTATTCGCACGTACATTGACTAACTTGATTTGTAAAAAAGTTCAGTTTTGAAATTCTCCTTGTCGATAAGGTCGAACTGGTAACTTTATTTACTATATGACCAGGGTATCGTTCCACAACTAATTCAGTTCTAATTGCCAGTAAATGGACGATTTTTCAAGCAATTTGTCAATTGAAAATATCATTGATTATTCAATGCAAATCAAATGATACTGTCTAATAGTCGAATGATACTGTCTTATAGTCGAATGATACTGTCAGATAGTCGAATGATACTGTCTTATAGTCGAATGATACTGTCTAATAGTCGAATGATACTGTCTAATAGTCGAATGATACTGTCTAATAGTCGAATGATACTGTCTTATAGTCGAATGATACTGTCAGATAGTCGAATGATACTGTCGGATAGTCGAATGATACTGTCGGATAGTCGAATGATACTGTCGGATAGTCGAATGATACTGTCTAATAGTCGAATGATACTGTCTAATAGTCGAATGATACTGTCTAATAGTCGAATGATACTGTCGGATAGTCGAATGATACTGTCTAATAGTCGAATGATACTGTCTAATAGTCGAATGATACTGTCTAATAGTCGAATGATACTGTCTAATAGTCGAATGATACTGTCTAATAGTCGAATGATACTGTCTAATAGTCGAATGATACTGTCTAATAGTCGAATGATACTGTCTTATAGTCGAATGATACTGTCTGATAGTCGAATGATACTGTCTAATAGTCGAATGATACTGTCTAATAGTCGAATGATACTGTCTAATAGTCGAATGATACTGTCTAATAGTCGAATGATACTGTCTAATAGTCGAATGATACTGTCTAATAGTCGAATGATACTGTCTAATAGTCGAATGATACTGTCTTATAGTCGAATGATACTGTCTTATAGTCGAATGATACTGTCTAATAGTCGAATGATACTGTCTTATAGTCGAATGATACTGTCTAATAGTCGAATGATACTGTCTAATAGTCGAATGATACTGTCTAATAGTCGAATGATACTGTCTTATAGTCGAATGATACTGTCTAATAGTCGAATGATACTGTCTTATAGTCGAATGATACTGTCGGATAGTTAAATGGTAAAAATCCCCATTCGTGTGAGCACTAAATCTTATTTAGATTTGTATCTTTCAGACCAAATAAATAATCTACTGCTCGCCCACACTCAGAGTTAATCCACACGTTCATTCATAAGTCTGATGAAAAGGCAAATCGGATTTCAAAAAAACTGATTAACCCTGCCTAATCCTAACGATTATAAAAAAGCTGATATTTTTAACCAGGTGGTTAACAAGTTGATTGTTTATTATATGAAATACTAGGATTTAATTGTGAAAACTTCAATACCTGTTTATTTTAGACCTATCTTGTTATGACATGTATGATGTTGACTTGTTTCAGTTCTGCACTAATACC